ATAAAAGCAGGGAACTAATAATGAGTATTTGTGCATGTTTCTGTATTTTCCAATTTCCCAACTGCATTGTATGTCACACAGGTGAAGTTGTTAGTGGATATATCGACCAATCATGTGCAATTGATTGATGCACTACTGACTATATGTAACCCATTGAATTCAGTTAGGAATTCAAAAAACACTAAACTACAAACTTGGTGAGTAACTTATACCGAAAGCGTATAAAGTTCTATGAACGTATGCCATAACACTGAGGAACCTACCTGTGTTTCCCACCTCCAGTAAAGTGTTGCACAGCCATAAGCGAAAACAGAGCGAAGTACCTTGGAACGTCTTTGCTCGTTTATAGACAGACAGACACCGTTTGTTCATCATACGTAACGAAAGTTTACAAAATCCAAACAAGATTTTCATTCGTGTCAAAATTCTATCGTCTATCTATCGCCCAATGCTAATGGAGCTGCCAAGGTGAGTATCGTCAGTGTGCTGAACTACTTACCTCCATATGTTCAGATTAAAAACTGGCCCACTGTAGTTCTAAAGCATTTCGAATTGTTGGAGACCCAACTAACACTAATGTAGTCCTCAAGACATTCAGACGAGTTCATTTCACTGACGTCTTACTCAAACAGAAATATGCCACCTGAGTAATCTAAATTGAATGATCTCACATTGCCAAATTATTGCCTACCGAAGGTTGTCCTTGGGCGAAAGAGTTCATGTACCTATCCTGTACGTCTTTTAAAATTTCTATCCACAACGTTCATACATCGAAACAGATCGAACAACGGACATTTACGACTAAGACTAACGTCTCGCAACGATGTGAAAAACAATGTCTTCTCGTTGTGTTCACCTATACTCTGATGATTATTTTACTACCGTCGAAGTAACTGTTTCTATGAATTCGGTGTCCAGCTTGTACTATTGAGGTATGGCAACTTAGACTGATGCATATATGTGCCTGGACCTACGTTGTAGAGGACTGAAAGTGATGGCAATTCATTGATCCCAGCTCGGATAATGGAGACTGTTTTCCACAGATTTGCACAGATCGCAAGCTTTCTGAACTGTCATGTCTTCCCTCCTCAACTTAAGTCTGGGCTCATGGTGGCCATATTGCGACTAGCTACCGGTGCCGTGGTCGCTTACAAGGTTGTTTTCATTTTAGAGTATCTTCTTGGATTCCAGTCATGCGCTTTGCCGTTCAACAAATTTATCATTCCAAAAGGTTGGTCGAAAAAGAATTGGCTGCACTTAGCATTGACAACAAACTGAGATAAGTCTAAGGTTAGGAGGTAATTCGTTGGAAAGTATAAATCAGCATGCACGCGCCTACAGAACCCCATTTAAATAAAGACTAGGTCCACTCACGGCTTCGTGAACGCACTACTGTGTGTCCCGTTGGTGAATACTGCGTTCCTGTGAGGTTCTTACAATACGGCACGTCTATTACGGCAGATGGTTAGTTCAGCAATACACATAAGATTTCAAAACGTCTGCATAATGATCATAAAACCTGGTGGGGACTCTCTATTCCACCTTGTTACTTATCATCCTGGTTCAAATACCGTTTTCATGTATTCTTTCGTTTACGTATTTCCGTATTTGTTAAGTCTGGCTAAATTTGTATATTTACCTAACTTGGACTTGTTTCCTATTTTTTACTCTTTCCTATTATGATTGCCAATAAACTCTTCTGTGGGTTGGAAGCACTATCATAAACGGATATTCATTTAGTTAACTTCACGTTTGTGTCTCTGTCTGGGTCAGTGCTGAAAGCACGAAGAACAAATTTTCCTTCTCTTTGGTATTATCCAACTCTTGTGATATTAATGTGGTGTTCGTTGAAATATTCATTCATTTATTGATTACGCCCGTTACTCCTAATGGAGCATAGGTCGCAGACCAGCATTCTCCAACCCACTCTGTCCTAGGCTTTCTTTTCTAATTCCATCCAATTCTTGTTCATTTTTCTCATGTCTATTTCCATTTCTCGGCGTAATGTGTTCTTTGGTCTTCCTCTTTTCCTTTGGCCTTGAGGATTCCATGTGAGGACTTGTCTTGTGACGCAGTGGGGTGCTTCCCTCAATGTGTGTCCTATCCACTTCCAGCGCTTCTTCCTGATTTCTTCCTCCGCTGGGATCTGGTTTGTTCTTTCCCACAGTTGGTTGTTGCTAATAGTGTCCGACCAACGGATCCTAAGTATTTTGCGTAGATAACTATTAATAAACACCTGTATCTTCTGGATGATGGCTTTCGTAATTCTCCAGGTTTCCGCCCCATACAGTAGAACTGTCTTGACATTTGTATTGAAAATTCTGGCCTTGGTGTTGGTTGACAGTTGTTTTGAGATCCAGATGTTCTTCAGTTGTAAATATGCTGCTCTTGCTTTTCCGATCCGTGCCTTCACATCTGCATCAGATACACCGTGTTCATCAATGATGCTGCCCAAATATGTACAGGTTTTTACATCTTCCAAATCTTCTCCGTCAATTGTGATTGGATTGGTGCATGCTGTGTTGTATCGGAGAATCTTGCTTTTCCCTTTGTGTATATTGAGATCTACTGCTGCTACACTGGTCATCTTCTCCTGCATTTGTTGTTGCGATTGCGATAGGAGGGCCAGATCTTCTGCGAAGTCTAGATCGTCCAGCTGCATCCTAGATGTCCACTGCATCCCGCGTTTCCCTTCAGATGTTGACATCATGATTCAGGAGAAAGGGTGAGAGTAAGCAACCTTGCCTGACACCGGTCTTTACCTCGAACGAGTCTGTCAATTGTCCTCCATGCACAATTTTGCAGTTTAATCCATCACAGGAATCCCGTATGATATTGACTATCTCCTGAGGCACGCCATAGTATCGAAGAAGCTTCCATAGTGCTGTTCTGTCCATGCTAAACGTCCCGCTTTTGAGCACTGGGTTTCTCCTGGTTCCTTACAACTCATTGAAGCCCGTCGGTCTACTCCGGGTGACCGTGAGTTTGACCATAAACGAAGGATGTTACGTAAGGAAATCGGGCAAAGCTTGCGTAAGGACCGAGAAGCCTGGTGGTCGATGCGTGCTAATGAGCTGGAAGCAGCAGCTGCATCTGGTAACTACCGGAAGCTCTTCCAACTCATCCGAGCCACTGGCAGCAAGAAGTCTGGTGTGAGTGAAACAATCTGCGAGGATGATGGGATGCCAATCACTAACATCCATCGACGTCTTGGACGATGGGCAGAATTTTTCGAAGGGCAGTTCAACTGGCCTGCTGCTCCGGCAACATCGGTCAGACTGTCCTGCCCTCCATGGCCGGTGACGACTGATCCACCAAACGAGGAGGAAGTCCGCAAGGAACTCCAACTCTTGAAGCGTTACAAATCACCTGGCCCAGATGACTTACCTCCGGCTCTTTTTAAAGATGGTGGTGACTTTTTGACTAAGGAATTGACGACGTTGTTTACAAAGGTTTGGGAACTAGAGAGTGTGCCAACGTCATGGAATGAGTCGATAGTTGTCCCTATCTTTAAAAAGGGTTCACGTCGTTCTTGTAACAACTATCGGGGGATAAGTTTACTTCCGATTGCGTCCAAGCTATTGGCTTCCGTCATTCTTCGTAGGTTGTTCAAAACCCGAGAAAGATTGACTCGCGAGGAGCAGGCTGGGTTTCGTTCTGGTCGAGGATGTATTGATCATATCTTCACCCTCCGCCAAATGTTAGAACACCGCCATACTTTTCAAAGGCCAACAATCGTAGTGTTTCTTGACATCAGGGCTGCCTTCGATTCGTTGGACAGGACTGTTCTCTGGGATTGTCTATTGAAGAAGGGTGTGCCTGAGAAGTTTATTAACATCCTAAAAGCCCTGTATAAAAACACCTCAGGCAGAGTGAGGGCATACAACCACCTCTCTCCATTGTTCCATTCGAGCAGTGGGGTTAGGCAGGGTTGCCCAATCTCACCATTCCTCTTCAACTTTGCCATCGATGACATTCTGGAAACAGCTCTGATGAATGTAAGTAATGGTGGTGTGGATCTGTTGCCTGGAGAAAGACTTCTCGACCTTGAGTATGCGGACGATATTGTCTTACTGTGCGATAATGCCCAAGGCATGCAATCCGCACTTAATCAGTTGGCAATCAGTGTCCGTAGGTATGGTATGTGCTTTGCACCTTCGAAGTGCAAAGTACTTCTACAAGACTGGCAGGATTCTAATCCTGTACTCACCCTGGACGGTGAGCAGATAGACGTAGTTGAGAAGTTCGTGTATCTGGGTAGCTGCATAAGTGCTGGTGGGGGTGTGAGTGATGAGATCAATGCACGAATAGTGAAAGCCAGAGCGGCTTATGCCAATCTGGGCCACCTTTGGCGCCTTCGTGATGTTAGTCTGGCTGTAAAAGGCCGGATCTACAACGCGTCGGTGAGAGCAGTTTTGCTCTATGCTTGTGAAACCTGGCCTCTCCGAGTTGAGGACGTTAGACGACTCTCTGTGTTCGATCATCGCTGTCTCCGAAGGATTGCTGACATTCAGTGGCAACACCATGTCAGTAATGCAGAGGTTCGGCATCGTGTGTTCGGGCACAGAGATGATAACTCAATTGGTGTCACCATCTTGAAACACCGACTTCGGTGGCTTGGACATGTTCTCCGAATGTCGTCCCAGAGAATTCCACGTCGTGCATTATTTGCCGACTCTGGGACTGGTTGGAAGAAGCGGAGAGGTGGTCAGTGCATGACATGGTGTCGTGGCATGAAAGAATGCTGCAAAGGACTGGCTTGTGTTGGTCCTTCACGACTCCCTGGTTGGGGTCCGAGAGATGGTGCTACACAGTGGCTAGAGACGTTATCAGATATGGCTCAGAATAGAAGCCAGTGGCGATCCTGCTGTAAGCTTCTTTTACTTTCTTCATAAAAAGTGGTTGTGTCTCCTTTACCTGAAAGATTTCTTCTGATTGTACCTTATCGTCATTACTCTCATTTTCTTTTGCGTTCCTTAGTTTTTTTTTTTTTTCTTCTTCTCTTCGAATTCCCATTGTTTTGTGTGGCGCATATATATTGGCGCTCTCTTGTACCAATATTTATGTGTTCAAATAAATAAATAAATAAATCTGTCCATGCTATCAAATGCTTTTTCTTAGTCAATGAAGTTGATGTAGAGTGATGAATTCCATTCAATTGATTGTTCCACAATGATTCGTAGAGTTGCTCATTCAAAATAAGCTTTTGTAGTATCACGTGACCGAACTTACTCTACTTCACTACGGACGAATCACATAAAGTGATCGAGAATCTTTACTGATATTCAGTAAATAAGAGGCATAAGAAAAGGTTTCTCTACCAGTGATCCGCGTATTTCAGTTAGCCAGTCGTCAGCACATTTAGTTATTCCACAGCATTAGGAAAGCGAAGTCACCTAGCTCAGGAACTAGTTCACCACCGTGTTAACTTGAATAACACTGCAAAAAACTCATTGTTTATGAAATACAACGTAGACACTCGGTCGATACCTTTATAGAGGTTCAGGTATTGGTTCATTAAACATTCGCAGCAGATGTAGGTGAATTAAATATTAGCTGATGAACATCTATTACTGAAACGTATATCCAAATGTAATGCTAGGTTTTCTGCTTTCTAGACTGAAATCTACAATATGAAATGCTTAGTTTGAAAGCTCCATCCACAAGCTTTTGAAAATCAGCTATAGGATTTATTCCCTAAATAGCCCACTCCATAGAGAGACCTAGTAACCTACTAATGTAACCTTCCTAAGGAGTGTTTGCTTAATAAGCATTTTTATGATGTTTTTCATGATGTTTTCCGTTTGAATGTGTTGTCCATGTACACGGAACAATTATAAATACCTGATTTACTGATTATAAATTCCAATTCTGAAGTTACCATGTACGATTATCAGCCATCTTCCTCACTCTTTATTCAAACAAAGATCAGAATTTGATGATTAGTATTTTATGTAAGATGGAATGTCACAATTTTCGGTCCAGATTTTAAAAGGTAATACCGTTAAATTATTATTTTCGCGACTGTTTACCTTCAGATAACCTGCCACTCTATTCTTTTTGGAAATTCAAGTCAGCTGTTTTTATGAACATTTCAATTAATTTGTATCCATCAGCTGATACGGAAGACCTTCAAAATTAAAAGGAATGTACATTGTTTCCTTACTTTAAGAGTTTTGATGCACTTTTAATGAATACTTTATTATTAAGTTTTTTTATATATCCATCTATTTGTTATCTATGCATCAGCTTATATCACGTGGTAGCTACGTCCTTGTTTACCTACCTTTCAGTTGAAAGTTTTCGAGTTGTTTTTTCAGAATTTCAATTGGGAATTCTAAAACAATATGTCAACATTTACGGTGTGAAAATATAAATCCATAACTATCGTTTTATAAATCATACTGTTATATAGTAGGGAAGATTTAATTACGAGTCACTTTGAGACCTATTAATGAGCTTATATATACATCTATTGTATAACTGTTCAGTAACTAGACTATGTATACCTATATTCCCTTAATGGTAAGTTTCATTTTGACCTATAGATTATTATTATTATACGATTTACTATACTAGTATACTCAGTTTATTGACTAGTCTCCCACGTTCACAGCCATTTTTCGGCTTGATATTCTATGAGTGTTATTTCCTACTTTATGATGTGATGTGGTCTGTTTGGCTGGTACATAAACTAAGTATGTTTGAAATAAATGATTCACATAGTAGGAGCTATTATTAGTGTTCTAGACTCAAGTGGACAGGCTAGGCGAACGAAGGACCAATAATATCGCTAGGCTGACCGGTCGAGTGTCTTTGGTTTGGCACAGTACCAAGATTGAATAAGTCGTATTTCGATTGGCGAATAAATCACGTGATAACTAACCGGCTTTAAAGTAACAACGTACCATTCAATAATGTTAAGATTATTACTATGAAATTGCTGAAAAGTTCATGTCATTATCTAGTATCACCCACAACAGTGCTTCAAATCGTCAACACTTCATCTCGACGCCTAAGCCCTAAAATTCAGTCGTGAGTAGGGTCATGCTTATGTACTAGGAATTAGTCTTATAACAACATCTTTTCATTTTAATACCCTTATATGGTGACTACTAGACTATGAAATCAATCGTTTGATCACCTTAAAGTTGTCAAAAGTGTTCACCTAACGCATATCGGACGAAACCATCCTAGAAGCCAGCTGAGGTAGACGGGGAAAAGACAGTAACCTTAATTATTTCTAAAAATAATCAATATCAGTGACTGGGTCTATTTACTGCCTAATTCGCATAGTTAGGAACCTAATTACTATAATGTAGAATGGATTAGAAACAACGAAAAAATTTACGTCGTCCGGCTGTATCTGATATACGTTAAAAACAGAATTACACGCAAACGTTTTGTACTTAAAATACTCAGGAACAGAGTAAGGATTGGACTTGGTTGATCACAATTTTTTTTCAGAAACTTTTTCGTAGAACACTGAGTATAGTTTCTCTTTAGATATGTTTTTAAAAATTGACTGATTCCCTAAGATGATCGAAATAACTTGGCATTTGAGTAAATCACTCTGCATATAGTGATGAAAGGTTGTCTGTCGCTAATAGCTTTCTTCGATCCATCATCGGTTAGAAATTTGGTGGTCTTTTTTGAGCAAAAAATAAATGTAGCATTCGCGCTCTCACTATTGTTCTCTCTAAATGCTTGCGGAACAGCAGAATCGAGTAGGGAACTTCTAATTTTCCGTCCTCTGTCAGTGCAAGAACGTAGACCCACCAGATAGTGTACACTAAACGAGATAGGACTAGTAAATTCGCACAAACTCTATCCGGTTTACCGATCAACCAATCTTTTATATCAAGAAACTTTCACTCCTAATATTTTTTTCTGGCAGCAGTGTCCATTTTAATCAGAATTTACAGTGAAACAAGTTTTTCGCTAGCATATTTCCAAACATCTTGTGCACAAATTATTACACTTGTAAATAGAAATATATCTCTTACAAAACACAAATTTTCACCATCCCGTATTTCACCTCATAATTTACGTAAAATTATTCATAGAGTAAAAAAAATGTAGGATGCCTAAATTGGTTGGATGTTTCCCTTGCTAATTTTGAAATCTAGGTGATAACTTCTAAACACTCAAACACGTTTGGAGAAAACATGATAAACTTGCATATTATTTCATTTTATATATCTAACTTTAATGGGAAACTGTGAACTAAATAGGAAGAAGAATCAGACAGTACGAGTTGATTCAAATTGAAAAATCGAAATCCCCAAGCATTTACAACTACTAATTTCTGACGTTTCTAAAACTAGGAAGAAAAACTACACTTTTCCATGGATCTTTTGCAAAGTCAGTGACCTCATAAATTAGTGTTAAGTCTAGGTTTTGCTATACTTAGCCTCTTTCCAGTCTATCACCCTTCTAAGTTTAAGATTAGTTGACAAGTAATTAATCAAAGTAACATAAGGGTAGTTAGATCTATAATAAAACTTAATTTATTGACGACTATCTAATAAACCAGTGGGAGATATAGGCTTGCTTACTAGTATCTCTAAAATAATGGAAAAACCGTATCGAAGTTTTGGTTGCTGCGATCTCATTCATTCCCATATAACATATATAACACTAAAAGTATTACTTTCAGCATAAAATGCCAGTGACACGGATGTCCGAGACTTGAAAACATAACCAACAAGTTCCGTGTTCTTACTTTTGTAATAACTACAAAATCCCCTTGGTACCTTAGCGCAATCTTAATTATTGCAAAAGACGGATCTCAACAGCCAACCAATATCCAAGTCAGAAACTTCAATACGAACTTCAAGACACTTCTACCGTACGGAGCTGAAACTTTGAGAACTACTACAACCATCATCAAGAAGGTGCAAATTTTTATAAAGAGCTATCTACGCAAGATATTCAAAATCCATTGGCCGGATACCATCAGCAACAACTTTCTGTGAGAGGACAAACCAGCTTTCAGCTGAGGAGGAAATTAGGACTAGACGATGGAAATTGATAGCACATATATTACAGAAATCACCAAACTGCATCACGAGACATCCCCTAACTTGCAATCCTGAAGGGTGGAGGAAAAGAGGAAGGTCGAAGAACATATTACGTCGCGAGATAGAAGCAGATATGAAAAGGATGAATAACAACAGGGAAGAGCATGAAAGAATTGCCCAGGACAGGGTTGGGTGGAGAGTGCTGGTGTGCGGCCTATATTCCTCCACGAGAAGTAATAGCCCTAAGAATGGAACTTGATACGACTTTAATCTGGTAGAAATTAAAAGTCTAAGCTAGGAGACCCTATTACATATCAGATGTAGACAGACTACGAGGCTTTTCTGCTCAGAAGGAGCAAATATGTAACCCAGTATTTTAGTCATATTTATTTTTTAAAGCAGTTAATCTATAGGTGATTTGAATTGTCTACATGAATTAAGTTATTGACTAATTTTTTCCCCAAATACTGAACAGTTCAACGTATTCAGACCTGAACACTGACCAGATAAGCAGACCTGACATAACTCGGAGTATCTTTAATAAAGCTGTTGATCAGTTCGTAGATTTTATTCCTGATGGGTGGCTAAGCAATCATCTGAAGTCTTACTTATTTCTGTCTCAAGCAGAAAGTTATATTCAGCCAAACAGTAGAAATACTTTGTTTCAGTGAATACATATCCGAAATAAATAATCTTCTTATCAAAATCTTGTGGGGTAATATACTGTATTTCTTAGGTATTTATTATTGTGATACTGGTTTTGTGCAGGAACTAAGGTATCATATCTCTCGCCTACATTTGCGGATGCTGAACTCCAGAGTACGTTCCATCTCCTATTCCGCTCAAGTTCATGAGGCCAAAAATTAGGATAGATGCAAATACGAGATGACGGTTGTGGGTGAGTGAATTTTCTACCAAAAACCATCGTCTATTTTGTCATTTTAACAACCTATAAATATATATCAGTTAAGGAGTATCAATCAGCTTCCGATAATAGAGCTATCCTCATTTTCTTCCTCTTTATTGTTGGTTGATCAGGTATTAGGAGAGCACATTGGTGACCAAATAGAATAGCAAAAGATGAGGATCCAGTTTTAATGTCAGTGTTAACTCACGACTGGGTACCTACCACATGCGGCACCAAAATCTTTACTAATTAATATATGCTACCATTTAATTGAAGTTTAAAATACTGGATTTTGCCCGCACGGTAATAATTCTCTGAGATGTATTCGTTATTTCCGTTGGTAATTATTTCGTCAGGCCTAACGATGCATTCTAGTAGTTGAAAGTCGACTCATATAGGTAAACAACTGACAGTAAGCACAGCGCGGATTATCCTAGAACAATATTTCAGCCGAGGTTATTTATCAGCAATCAACGGATATGACATCATCCAAAACCCGAGTTTAACGTTCTCCAGATATTTCATGCCATGGTTAAAAGACTATGACACAAGTCTGCCTTTCTTTAAGACCATAAATTTCCTTTCATGACGTAGAATATTACAGATTCTTGTTACCCCTCCCTGAGGCACTGGCTTTAAAAATAACAGGGTTATCTAACAAATGACTATTTCTCACAATATCCAAAATATATAATTCCGGTAAGAGTGAAGATGCCACAGGTATTCGGAGTTTGACAACGCTTTAACCAGTAACACCTAATATGAAGCGTACCCACCATTTAAATCAAAAGACAGAAGCGGGGAGGTTAGAAGATATATTTGATAGACTATCAATATATCGAGGATCGTCTGATCTAATCTGGCTAGCGATTGCAGGGGTTGTTGAGCACGGCGTTCCCACTCGTGATCTGGTGCGGATGCATGACCGAGCGCCTACAGCCAGGTGAGTCCATTAAAACTAATGTGGTCAGTATCCAATGTCGAAAACTCAGAGAGCTATTTATTTTGGGAATTTATTTACCGCTACAAGAGCATACTACGCTGATCTTAAGTGACTTATCTGAGAGTATGTAAACGCTGTTTGATTATTTAACAATTAATAACACGGAGCAATGAAATAACATTTTTGATCTGAATAATTGATTAACACATGTCAAAATATCCCTTGTAGAAAAGAAAAGTTTTAGTCTACACATATACCAAGTGTCGGGATAGTGTGAGTCAAGGTACTCTCCCAATTGAGTTTTCATCACTAACTGATATTAGATATAATGTAGAAAGGTTAGGATTAGTTACTAGAAGACTAATTTATGAACGACCGTTGAGCGAGGTCCAAGTGACTTTGAGACAAATACCCTATTTTCTAGGGTAAAACAAGAATCTAAGGCTCACATGAAAGTAATGAAGTCTAAGTATAATCTACAGAGCTCAACTGTACGTTTACAAATTGACCAGTGAAGCGAATACCTGGAGTAATACCATCCCCTTAAAAGGAGGCTCACAAAAGCACTTTAAGAAAGGCTGGCTTTGCCACTGGAACTCGTCAGAAATTTCATCAAATTTTTGACTTATTTTCTGATAGCCATATTTAAGTGAGTGGTCACTCAACACTCATGTGACCTTTCCGAAAACCTTAAGTAACTAAGTCTCAAGAACAACCTAATTATTCTTTTCCTTTGGCATAAATGCTTGATTCAAGCTCATAGCACCTAAAATGGATACAAGAGGAAGCGTATCGACTGATTAAACCGCTCGACAAGTAGTAAACTTACCAAAAACATTTTTATAATATTTTCATCAGAATCTAATAACGATTGAATAAACAATTTCTTCAAGCACTTACTACAATAAAAAGCTTGTGGAAAGGCAACACGAAGTATGTCATATTGAGTACTCGTCTTTAGATCCCATTGGTATTTTATGTGGTGCTAAACCCCATGCCCCTATGCTTCCAAAACGAGTCCTCACTTCATCCAGTAAATAGGATTTTAGAAAACAGCCACTACGGAAATACAGCATGCAGTGTTAAGGTCTTCAGACTATTTCTAGGCCGTTAGTTTATTGACCAAACAATCTCTCGAATAAAATTAATGTGCAGACTGGGCATAGTGATAATTGGTTAAATTTCAGGCCTGTCTGTGCAGTTATCGTAAAAACCAATCAGCTTGCCTCAAAGGCCACAGCTAATACAAATAAGATTTTGATTTGATGAAATTAATGTGTGGGCGAGATACGCTTCTACATATAGTATTCTCCGATCTCAAGGCTATTGACAAAGTTTCCTCTTCAAGTGGCTTGGTCTTTCTGCTTAGTGGCGTGGTCTTTGGTCGGTTATCTTATTACTTTACTTAAACAATGTCCGAAGAGTGGAAAAAACGGTGTGAAAACCATGTAGATGAACACAAAAGCTTGAAGCATTTACATATAACGGATCATCAGGGAACTCCCTACGGCTCATCTAGTCCTGATTTCCAAGTAAGTCCACCTTGTTTTATTGTTAAAGTAGAATGTCTACACTGCTTACACCACTGAGAGATTAAGTTGGTAAAAATACTTCTTAAACAAACACCGGTCGACAATAATAGTGGCGACCCATCTAATTCACGATTAGACATTTCGATATTAGTATGATCTAATTCCATGCACCAGTCCTCATTTACAGTTACCATGATCCCATCAAAATGTTCGTCGTGGACCTTCTTACTTTGTACTCTGAATTCGGTCACTGTGAACCTAGCAAATCCTCGGATTTCGTAAGAACTCAAGCTAATAACAGAGCAAATTCGTGTTTCATTAAAGGATTATCTGAGACAATTCTCGATAATCTTTCACAAAAGATTGTTATATCAGATAGGGGATTTACTAATGATTTAGTGTTTTGATCACAGTGCTCAGACTATCTTGTCAACGTCGGCACGTCCTCACTTAGTGTGGAGCCAGATAATGTATTCATGTCTACAAGTCCCTAGATTGCGTCCATTAGATATGTCGAGAAGCTCCGATCTAGAAGAACCGTAATGTCTATATTCCGTCTTCTGTAGTTTGTGTAAAGTCGCTTCATCGCACCACGCGTCACTACGTGCTAAAGGAAGGCTCGTACTTGCTGACTATTTGAAGCTGTATGTTGATCCAAAAATGCCCGACCGTTGTTGCTACCTTGACGTGGTGGTCGGGCTTGCCTATCGTGATGAAGCAACCGAGCTATACTGGCTGGAACAACCGTTCCTCAAGGTCCTACCATGTCAGACAGGTCGGTTGAAGAGCGGTAAGACTAAAAGCAACAAACCCAAGGTCCGAAGGCGAAGTCGTACTGCTGACTGTACAGAGGTGTGACAGCAGTAAGGTGTTTCCTTCAGACAACCAGCATGACAGCGATGCTGCCTTCCCACAAGGAGGGGTGGGGTTAGAAAAGGTCGACCCTAAAAATGCACACCTCACCTTACCCCACGGATTTCCGTCTCCGGCGGTAAGGCCCTTTGAAGAACGGAGCTAACACGTCGAAAACCTTCCACGAAAAGGCCGTGCGCGACCGGCCTCAAGCAGTTGTCCCTTGGGCACTGCGGTCACGCTCTCAGGTCACTGAGGCCACCTCTAATCCAATTTCCTTTTCAGGTACCTCCAGAAGAACCCTTCCACGGTGTGGGCAACCGGGAGGTGATAACCGCCCTCATACCTCTAACAGCACCCAAGACCACTGTATTCACAGCCTTTATTCAGTAAATAATCAATAGGAGACCTATTGTACTTGTGTTTTGGTGTGGTAAAATTGACGTGAGCTAAGCTATAAGGTAAAAGAATTCCTTCGATAATTCTGGTTAAATGTAACTTATGTTCAGTGGGCGTATTTAAAGTTACATGAACCAAATCGAAAACCATGTATCTTAAGATGTTTTATACAATGATTTGTGCCTGTTATTCCATTTGTATTAGTATGAACTATTGTTTAGTAATTTCCCTTAATCGGTTTTTTGTTCTTCAGCTATCTCCCGAGTTTGTGCTTCAGCTCAAATCATTACTTACTGATGACAAAGACACCTCTTTTACGTTCATGAATGAAAAGTACATCATCATAAGACGCGACCCGACTAGTTTTATCAGCAGATGTCTCAAGAAGTCAATTTTATTCCATATCACACCAAAACGTTAGTCTCATTCCATGTACATTTGTTACTTGGACTTTTTATCTTTTATTTATCATGACCAATAGGTCAAGATGATTACTTATCTGATTAAATGCCATTTTATGATAATTCTTGGTAAATAACGAAATTATTCACTTATATGTCGATAAAATAGCGTAACACATTTTCCAAGTGAAGGTTAATATACTGTACTTGAAATCATTTTGTGAAGACGAATCATACTGCTCGATTTTGAAACCATATTTGGAACGGGGGTTTCGATATGCATCACAGCGACTAAAAGTTGTGTTTCAACCACTCACTGAGTAAATGTAGGCACAATACGTCTTGGTGTTTATTGGTTAATGTCGGATCATATTTTGAGATATAAATGAACTTTGTTGAAGTACTTTTATTCTAGTTTAACTAAGCGTTTCCAAGGAAAACTCGCGTCAGAACGTTCGCAATTTGATTGAAAAGTATATTTTTTACTAAGCCATTAGTAAGCGGTTTGCTCATCTATAACCCTTGTTCTTGGACCTCGGTTTTTTATTGTAATTATTTGTAGTAGACGTGTGCCGTAATCTAAAACTATATAGTGAGTGGACGACCTTGTGCAAGTAGTAACGTGCTTTAATTAGTTTCCCGATTATAATCAAATATGTGTTCCATTTCATTTTGGGGTCGTATCGATGTACAACATATGACAGTTTGGACTGAACTTAACCAGTGATACGAAGCAGTTGATATCAGTCTCGCTATTCAAAGTGCCTCTATTTGTGTCTTATCATTTCAAAGTACTTGCAAAACTGGCACGACTTCTGTTTTGTATAAGATAAGCGGAGAAGACTGGTGTCATATGCGAACCACTTTGCATCAATAGTGCCAGAGTTGTTCTGTATATTGACAATTAGTTGAGGTACAGTATGACGTCAGTTGCGCTGCCTAGCACGGAGGTTATGTGGAACTCAATCATGTAAAGTCGACCATGTTTTTATGATAATATGAAATGTAGGGTTAAGACCAAACTTCCAATGTAAAACGACTTCTACATTCGGGTTATGTGGTCGTAGCATTTAATAGAAATTGGTTTTGCTGTAGGTACGGTAGACCCTACCTACATTTAATTTAGTTAGCTCGCCACCCGATCATTGTCCAGTGATTTACATCCTACCATTAATTGTGCAAACAAATATTTTATTTTTATTTATTTTACAATATTTGCATATAAGTGACTGTTTTATTTACTCAAATAATTCAGTCGGCCAGCGGTTCTGTCTTTTGATGTTCATTCAGTTGCGATTTGAGGACTCAAAAAGTCAAAGTGGATAAAATCAACAGGATGGATTCCGTGAGTATTGTCTATTCAGCCATCTCTCTTCAGTGTTCATTCGATCTGCGTTCGTTCTCAATCAAAATGAAGGTTGTTACAGGTTTGTAAATTGGCCGTATCCTGCACCCATTTTGTGAGGGATATTACTGTAAATTTTTTGGTTAGTCTTTTGCTAAACAACTCAAGTATTGCTCATCAGGAATACTGTCCTATTCTGACTTCTTGCTGCATACTTCTCAAATGCATTCATACAGTAATTACTAATGCATTTATTGTTCTAAACATTTTATTTTCAGTTTGCTTGGTTGGACAGACTGTCGACGATATTCTAAATAATTGCAATCCAGGAAACCATGCAATGAGCTGTATTTGCGATTATTACAAGAAATATAATTACTAATTAACTTTGCGTACGATGCAATACATCGTTCTTCTGATGTATTTGATTGATACACCAATAAATAATGCCCATGTATTAACCTTTGCTTGTTCCCATTTTTGGACTATTCATTTTTGTCTGTAGGGTTTTATCTAATTCGATTTAAGGTTTAGTGCTGCTACCACCAACTTATAGCACAGGTGTTTGTGTTTGCTCAGATCATTTTCCATGTTTACTAGATTGTAACTTAAGTGCTATAGCTTCCTTTCTAAAATCCAATGGAGTGTGTTTCGTCTGTAAAAATTTTTGATACTTCAATATTTTGAAAGTTCTTATGCATTATCATTAGCTTGCTTGTTTTCATGAATTGGTTTCATATATTTACCAAAACTTTAAATCGCTAAACTATCGCCACTACCTGAATAAGGGAACTGTATTTTGTTATAATTGGATTATTAAATCAACACCTTTGCTACAAAACTTGTTTTCACTCCAGTCGAAATCGTCTTACGTTGGGTTGCTTCCACCTTACTACAGGTATATTTTAGATATGCCTCAAAATCGTACTTCCATTGCTGCTATCAAATCCACCCATGATTTCCCGTAATTCCTTACTGGTACCAGGCGTGAGTATGAGCCGCGCATCGTGACCATTACATGTGCTAATAATGTATGGAGTTGTAGTCTAATATGGGTGGTCTCATTTTGTATCAAAACTACAACAAGAATGCTCACTGGCTGTATTTATTACCCTATGTCGTATAGTCGTTTTTCAAAGATAGAAAAATGGGACGGTTAGGAGCTAAAAATTGTATATGGTGACCAATTGCCGCGATATTGAAGTCACCCAGTTTTTACCGCTACTTGGTTTACATGTGTCAATACTAGGAATATACCCACCAGCTTTGTGTATCTCGTAAATTGGCTTCATCTATCGTAATCCAGGTAATAGTGTCCTACTAGTTTCCACGGACCATCGGGCCTCTTTCGAGTTTGTTGATATAATAATGCATGACAAGTATTTATGCGAAGTTGGAACCTCTAGTCTCCACGCTAGGCGTCGGCACTCATTTCCCATTACACCTTTATCTTGACATCCAAAAGCGGCTCTCTTATGGTCTGAGTAAATAAGTAGTGTACAACTTGTACTAAGATATTTGCGCATAGGAGAATTGACTAGTGAGACCGTAGATCCATAAATATCGTAAATAATGTGAAACGGTATTCCACTATTCAAAGTGGTGAGTGGCTAAACGAGATCAAATGTAATGAAACAATCACACCTACCGTATATTTGCCAACATCCGGGTTAAAGAATATAGCATCTAGGAGATAGGAGGCAATCGTTGTAAGGATGGGTACACGCGGACCTCCTTGAGGGCGATTTACACCACATGGGTCTTTCAGGTGGAGGTTATGCTATAGTGGTTTGAATCATCTACGGTTGGCGTCGTTTTATTTTGCCAACTGTGCTGCAAGGTGGATGTTATAAGAGATACAGGACTCATGTTTTACGGCCTTTCGTTCCCAGTGGGCAATTGTATCGCGAGGATGTCCTCAGTTTTTCGGATCGTATGGTTTTGTTTGCGATTGTATTACGTGTTAACTAGGAAAATTGGTTTCAAAGCACCTTTTAGGTTACAATTTAAGACAGTTGGTCTACAATATGTTTCCCCAGGAAATGTTTTGAGGGCGTTTACTACTGAGGAGTTACGCAGTTGGTCGGGGTCAGTAAGTCTCAGAGTTTTCTAAGTCTGGTATCCGTTTCGTTTAAAATCAATAGTAAGTGCTGCAGAGTGACGTCTTAGCCTTCGTTTACTTGTCTGGACATCATCGTAAGTCTCGTTTTAAGACTGATCAGAACCACAAACATAAGCTGCGTAAGAGAACTTCCATATTATGAGGAAATTAAGGCAATCGTCTATGAACAAGTGAGGTGGGATAGTTGTTCACTCTACTTAATAGTTTCTCAGTTTGTATTGAAATACAACACAATATCATTGGTAAATGGAAAAGTTAAAATGATAATGATCAACAGTATTTCATCTACTAATGAAGTTGTTTGAAGAATCACTATCTGAAGTCCTAAAAATCATTACTATTGATCGTTTTCGAAATCGAATTTTCTACAGTTATGCCCAAGCTGTAATCTACACGTAATTGATAGTATCAATGGAGAGTAGTCGCATTACACTACGTATTTACCAGGTAACAAAAATATCAATATAATACACTGATTCATTAATTTCATGCGACTTACTTTTTGTTAGTTCAAACTAAAAAAAGCGAACACTTCAGTGTTAATTAGTTGGAAACTGTGATGATACAGATGTTCAGCGTTTCGTTTCTTACTAATCCATCAATTACATCAGCTGTCAATTGAAACTAGTTTCATATGAGATCAGTTCCTACCATCAATAACTTTCTAACACCTATATCTTACCACTTCTAGGTTTATTCGTATGTGAGAACAAGTACACTTAATTTCTTTACTATATTGATGATGTCACAGGTATTCAGTGTTTGACAACGCTTCTACCAGTAACACCTTCTAAGATATTTCGTTCCCACCAAGAGAAATCAAAAGACAGAGTCGAGGAGATCGGAAGAGTATATTTGGCGATGACCAATATACCGGGATTCTCTGATCTAATCTGGCTAGCGATTGTGGTTGATGTTGAGCACGGCGTTACTACACGTGATCTGGTGCGGATGCCTGACCGAGCGCCTTCAGCTAGATGAGTCCACTAAAACATATGGTCAGCATCCAATGTCGAAAACTTACAGAGCTATTTATTTTAGGGATTTATTTACCGCTACAGATCACTCCCCCCCTAGTGGGGCAGTGACGACCCTAAGACGTGGCCAGCCAGAAGTTTAAACCCAACGAGTTTGTCGTTGGTAAACACTCTTCTGATAGCTTACTAAATTTAGCAGCGTCTGGTCGTCTTTCCTTACTATATGGGACGGAGGTACAACATAGTAAAAAAAAGAAAATGTACAATGAAAATTTCGGATCCTCATAAACGTCATCGTTCTTTTCCAGCCGTCCTGGAAAAGAAAAAAGAAAATGTAAGTGCATGTCGAAAATACACTCGTATATGCGTAAAAACACAAGGTCGGCGGAAAAAAAATGGAAAATAAACTCATGAGCACGTAATAGCGTTAAAAAATTGTTTTTTTTGTTTTTTTTTTTTTAATAGAAATAAAAATATATAAGCATATTAAAATTGTTTTTTTTTTCAAAAAAAAAAATAATATAAAATGTCGAGAAGTGCCTTACGTGCAATAGTCGTTTAAATGTTCTGGAAATCTCACCCTTCTTCCAGAACGCGTCGTTTTAAGTTTATTTTCGGATACTGTCGAAGTATCTTCGTGTGCGTTGGTTGTCGGATGAGGTATTATTAGTGTCTGAGTCGTGTCGTTCGATTGTACCGAAGGAAAATCGACGTGGATAGGATTTCCTTCTAAATACGCTGCTTTTAAGCGATCGATGCTGATGCTATCGTTGGTTCCGTTCTTATCGACTATATAGTACTTAGATTCACGTTGAAGAACTTTGAAGGGTCCTTCGTATGCTGATTCGAATGGTCGTCGATGCGAGTCTCGACGAATGAAAACGTGTGTACTATATGGTAAGTCAGGTTGAACGAAAACATCAGTTGATTGAGGTCGAGTGGAAGCAGGTTTAACTGAACGCATTGCGTTTGTAAGCCTGTTCGTGTAGGAGGTTAGATCCATGTTCATCGAAGAGCACGAAGGATCCACGAATTCTCCTGGAAGTCGAAGTGTCGTTCCATAAACGAGTTGAGCCGCAGTGTATCCAATGTCAGCTTTCACTGCATTGCGGATACCTAGTAAGACGAGTGGAAGAGCGTCGGTCCATTGTGAAACGTTTGCAGCTGATAGCGAAGCTTTCAGTTGTCGGTGAAAACGTTCTACCAACCCGTTTGCTTGGGGATGGTAGGCGGTCGTTCGGAAGCGAGTGATTCCTAAAAGTGTGGTCAGACGACGGAAAAGATCAGATTCAAACTGACGTCCGCGGTCTGTAGTGATGGTTGAAGGGCAACCGAAGTTTGCTACCCATCGTTCGACGAATGTGCGGGCCACTGTTTCAGCAGTGCTGTCCTTGATAGGTACTGCTTCTGGCCATCGAGTGAAACGGTCTACGCAGGTTAAGAGATAAGAGTATCCATTTGAATCTGGTAAAGGTCCTACCAAATCCAGATGAACATGGTCGAAACGAGCATCGGGAGTTTTAAACGAGCCTAAGGGACATTTATTGTGTCTGATAACCTTAGATTTTTGGCAGCTTACACAGGAGCGTGCCCACTCCCTCACGTCTTTATTCATGCCAGGCCAGCAAAATCGTTCTGCTATAAGCTTGATGGTTGCACGAACACCTGGATGAGAAAGTTTGTGCAATGTGTTGAAGACATTGCGTCGATAATGTTTCGGCACGATTGGGCGATCCCTACCTGTAGATGTGTCACAAAGTAAGGTTTCCTTACCTGTTCCCATCTGTTTGATGCGTAGTTTAAGTGTTGTGGACGATAACTCGTGCTGAAGATCACTGTCTTCTTTTTGAAGCTCGGCGAGTTTAAGAAGGTCGATTCCTTGGAAACTGTTCAAGGAAGTTATACGAGATAAAGCGTCTGCAACTACATTGTTTGCTCCAGAGATGTGTTGAATATCTGAAGTAAACTGCGAAATGTGGTTGATGTTGAGCACGGCGTTACTACACGTGATCTGGTGCGGATGCCTGACCGAGCGCCTTCAGCTAGATGAGTCCACTAAAACATATGGTCAGCATCCAATGTCGAAAACTTACAGAGCTATTTATTTTAGGGATTTATTTACCGCTACAATATAATCAGTGTCTGAAATTCTGGATGTGTATTTACGTATGTATCAGATGATATGTTCTGCAAAGTAATGATATTTATTATTATCTCTATGAATGTGAAGATAAGGCTCACGAATTAATCAAAAAGAAACCCTGATCTCTATAGACTAGAATCTAATACATGTCCCTACTTTGCTTATATCTCATGGAGATAATTTATTCCCTTACTTAACGTCAGCCCATTGTCTTATCTATAGTACACATATTAGAAAGATGTTCAATGTGCACTTTACTGAACTGATGTATCGTTTTACAGTTGTTTTTTTTCAGTTTGTTATACATTCCCGAAAATAACTGACATTCCGACTTTCATGGATAGTCGAACGATTATTGAATCTCAGTGGATCTCCCATCAAATTATGTAAGAATATGTAGTCCATTAATCTGAACTGCTTTTAGACATATGTATTCTCGATCCAGATATATAGTTTTTCAGAAACCTCCATCCAATGAACAAATGTAGCTACATTTTGTACAATAGCATTCCCATATTTTAAGCTCGATGTCTACTCCCAACCATAATTTCCTAATCTGTTGTGCAGGTGAAGATTATGAGATGATAAACACAATGATGTGTCTTTGAAGAATAAACCGCAAGGTATTTTTGTACTGTTAATTTAATCTAATGACCGAGCATTTGATGATTCAGCTTCGTACTATAGAAAATATTTGATTCAGGACTAACGTATGCTAATTCTTTTTTGGAAAAATCACCTGATGCTTAAGAACTTTGTGTAACCAAAGCTCTGTGAACCGTAAGGGGAGCACCTTTAGAAATAGGGACGAAACCAACAAATAATATAGGACATTATTACCTTATGCAATCGCTTAAGTTAACACACTGCACAAGCGACGCATCAAGTGGGAATCTACGAGTTAGAAACAAATAAATCGAATATGATGATATCACAAAATGAGCGAGAAGTCTACAAGACTGGGAAATTCGAGGAATGTATTATTCTTACTGAATGATCATAATCAGTGTGTTTGGAAACCTTTAAAATACTCGAGAGTTGACTTATCAAACTCTGCCTGCTGCCTATCCAGTGTCACTGCTGGTCCAAAACCCGCGTATAAAAGGAGGGTTGATGTGGTGCTTATACTAATTAATAAGTTCTTTGAACTTCATCGCGCGCGTAATTGAAATTACAAAACAAAGTACATCCAAATTTCTTCATTGCTTACTCTGACTTAAGTGCTAGTCCGTTTGTGACTATTAGAGTACACATCGAATAGTCCTGGGAATAAGTAGTCATCAAACCGAATTCTACTAACTTTCCCAATCATAATTAGATGTAGAGAAAGCTAACTTACCCTACTAAAAAAGTGATAACCACAGTACATCAAATAAAATATTTACAATCTGCCCCGTTACTCGAAGAATCTTCATGGTAAGATTTAGGAGCCTTCAAAAGATCTAAAGGCAACACTCTCCTGAAAAAAAGAAAAAATGAACATACAGACGTGGAATGTCCAAACAATATGGGAGGCCGTGAGGATCATTCTCATGGCCGCAAAAATGAAAACACACAGAACACGTGAAACTAAATGAACATATTTTGGACAGAAAAAATAACTTCAGAAGACTCGCTATTGTATTCCTGTCATCGGGATGAAAATACCACTCATACACACATGAGAAGTACACTGATACTGTCCAGAGAAGAAAATAAAGCACTCATAGCATAACGATCATCAAAGTATCCCTCACAACAAAGAGAGAATGGCCAATAACGAATGCCATACTATGCTGCACACCCACCAGTCACAGCAGTGGAGACGATAAAGACCAGTTTTGTAGGAGGCTGCAGTCGATCGTAGAGAAATGCTCAGAAAAGGAGCTGAACGTCCCGATGGAAGACCTAAACATCAGAGTCGAATTGACAACACAGGGTATGAAGACACTGTAGGGATACATGTACTGGAAGAAAGGAACGAGAACAAAGCGAGACAAGAAAATAAGTGTTTTCAACAACATTGTAAAACTATTCTCCTCCAAAACGCATACACGAAGGTATGTGAGTTTCACCAACTCGAAATACATCAGACCACATTGATCACATCTCCATAATTAGAAAGTTCAGAATGTCGTTTTTTTTTCTATCAGTGAGATTTTGTCTGTTATCTCTTTTTAATCTATCATAAACTGTTATCTTCCTTGATTTCTCTGCTTACTTGGGACGATAGAGTAATTTTGAATGGTGTATTATTTTATGTTTCAAGACTAATTAATCTTAAAGATGAATTTTTATCACTTTTTATAATTAGTGAGTTAAATTAAACTAAAGAATTTTAAGTTTACTATGAACTGATTACTTGAGTGAAATACAAAAGATAAAAAAGGTGAATTTTTGTCAAGTTTGAATAAATATAAACATACCAAAAAAAATGTCTAAATTATTTCACTCAGTCGTCATATTATTTTTTTCTATTTTAATTAATTACCAGTAAACTAGCTAGAAATAACAATAGTCGGCTCTTTAATAAGATAACATTCCTTATTCATATTAGATGTCTGTTTTATATTAAATATAAAAACAACATTTATACAAAATACACATTTTTTTTAGTAAACTGTGCTTAATAGTGATTACATTTATTTCTTTTTCTTTCAACTAATATTTATTCCTAGTACTTTTTTGTTTTTCTCTAATTAAATGTTCTCCATTAGTTTCCATAAAGGTGATTATAGTTTAACTAGTAACATTGTGAATTAAGCATTTATTAACTAAACTACATTCTATTTCATCAATCATGTATGGTGAAAATGAATGCAGGCTTTTATCTATCCAAACAGAGGTTTTTATTTACTCTCTTTGAAAAATAGTGCAGCTTACCATTGCTCTTCTTACGAAAAATATCTATTTTAAATGCAATGAACGTTGTTTGAAAGGTTACATATTTTACCGAAATATTTTGTTTCGTCCAACTACTAATCATAATTAGTTTTCGATTACATGTTCAAACGAAATTTGTAAGCTCTGAATGAACAAAGTAACTTGATGAAAACATTACTTTCCATATAGCTTTGTTATGAAGTAAAATTCAAAAGATCCTGTAGTCTTTCAAAAAATTCGAATATTCGATATCTCATTTCAGTAGCTTCTAAGCGATATTTAGTGGTATCCGGATTTCCAAGAAGTGAAAATATTTCACTTAATCGTTTCTGTTTCCTGTCTCATGATGCTATTTCATTATTACAAAGTTATCAATGCAAACTAGCTGTTAAAATTACCTAGGGAACATTTCAAAGAAAACACAAACATAACATTTCGGTAATAAGAACGGATTTGTATTCTCCCAGCGAAAATTTCGATCCAAATTGTTTTCTGAATGAAAAATCAAAAAAGAGTTGTCATAACTCAATTACGTGACGATAGCACGATTAAAATAATTCCTTTGCATTAAGAATTTCTCGACTTGTGTAGAAATACTTTTGAACTTTTTCTACCGACGTCACGTGCTACCATTTAATGACTAAATCAAAGTAATGGGTCATGTGGAAAAGTACGCAGAGTAGAACCTTATGAGTGTATATAACTAAAATCTTATCAATAAAAAACAAGAATGAATAATACTAGCTATCGATTGCTAGGTAACAAACTGTACACAAAACAATCAAGAACATTCGTAATGGAAATCTCACGATACAAGAGAATCTTTTCACGGCCATAAGTATGAAATCAATTTTCTGAACCACCTAAATTTGACTGACTGATTAAAAATCAGGGAGATGGAAAAGAATTTCACTGAAAATTCAAAATCTTTTTAAAACCAGTGCTTGGTTTCAGTTATCCTCACCAATAATTCCAATACACATGACAACTGAATTCTATATATCACGGGCCATTGGGTTTTGCAATCTCTTTTTATCAAAGATGATCAGAAAGACGTTGAGCTAAGTGATAGGACATGTCCAGGTTATAAACAACGAAGCTATGTACACAATTCGATTAGCGATTTAGTCGTTACAGTATTCAACTTTGAGTTATTGGGTTTCATTATAGAATCTCGCATGACTCAGAGCTGAGTAAATAAGCCAGCCCCCGAATTCCATGGTACAACTGAGGATTGAAAGAGCGCAATTTCGCCTTCAAAATGCTTTTATATGGCCTTGTGTATAAAACCACTGACAAGGAAGTCCTACTTACTGCTTGCTCGCGATGGGAGAGTTTACGAAATCGAGAGTAAGAAAAGTAAATGTCGGGTGCTTTTGTCAAGTTGGTGGGAAACCGTGATTCTAAACCCATGGTATACATATGCTTCAGGATCATGCGGGAACAGTTGAAGTATGAACCTATTCCTGGTCACAGACTATCATGGGACTGAATCTCCTAACGTTGCTCAAATGTATTATGGATTAGACCTATAGATCAAAGGCTCGTGACGTGTCGCCCTAAGACCACCTACTTCGGTTTGGGAGCACGGGCAATATTATAGCCCACAAACATATCAAATAACGATTACCTCTGGAAAAATTATTCTCATATCAACTCTCACTCAGACACTTGAATGCTCGGGTCGGCCGTCTAACCACAGAAGAAAGTCGTTTAGGTGGCCAATGGGGATTTGTTAATCGCAGGTCAGATAACGGTGGCAGTCTACTGCAACTTTGCGCAGAATACAACCTGTTTCTGGCTAGCACTAACTACCGAAACAGTCATCGTCAATGTGCCAACTGACGTTCTCCCACTGGACCTCA